TCTCTCTGAACTTCGTTCTGCCCTGGCCCTCTGCGGTTCTACGGCGGCGGGCTCCGATGGTATTCATTATGAGATGCTTCGCCATCTCCCTCCGTGCACGTCTCAGTATTTACTGAGTCTGTATAATCGGATCTGGGAGTCATCGTCAGTCCCTGAGGACTGGCTCGATGCCGTTGTCCTCCCTGTTCAAACCCAGGGTCTCTGGGTACTTCCCCTAAGGACTTTCGCTCTATTGCCCTCACAAGTTGTGTCTGCAAACTCTTTGAACGTATGGTTAACGTTCGTCTGATGTGGTTCCTGGAACACCATCACCTCCTCTCCCCTTCTCAATTTGGTTTCCGCAAGTGCCGCAGCACGACAGATGTCCTGGTGAACTTGGAGGTCTATATTCGTACTGCTTTTGCTGCGAAGACCTCCGTTGTTGCCGTCCTTTTTGACCTGGAAAAGGCTTACGACACCACTTGGCGATATCATATTCTATCCCAGCTTCATTCTTTTGGCCTTCGTGGTCATCTCCCTCTCTTTCTCCGCAGCTTCCTCTCTCGTCGTTCCTTTCGGGTGCGCCTTGGTACCGCTCTCTCTGCCTCTTTTCAGCAATACGAAGGTGTGCCCCAGGGTAGTGTTCTGAGCACTACTCTTTTTCTGGTTGCCCTCAATGGTCTTCTTTCCTCTCTTCCTTCTGGTGTCTTCTCCGCTCTCTATGTCGATGATCTTACCCTTTGCTGTCAGGGTGATGATTCGCCTCTCCTTCAGCGCCGGCTTCAACTTGCAATTGATGCCGTGTCGTCTTGGGCCACCGATCATGGCTTCAAGTTCTCTACTTCTAAGACTTGTGCCATGACTTTTACGCGGAAACGGGTCGTTCTTCGTCCCTCTTTGTCACTTTATGGTCATCCCCTTGAGTACAAAGATTCCGCGAAGCTTTTGGGGTTATTCCTTGACACTCGTTTGTCTTGGTCTCCCCATATCTCTTACCTCCGTGTTGAGTGCTCTAAGGCCCTTACCCTCCTTCGGGTATTGTCCCATACTTCTTGGGGAGCGGATAGGCGCACTCTCCTTGCTTTACATTCCTCTCTCGTCCTGTCTAAGCTCGATTATGGTTGCCCTGCTTACTCGTCTGCTTCTCCTTCTACTCTTCGCCGTCTTGATGCTTTGCACCATACTGGGTTGCGCCTCAGTTCTGGTGCCTTTCGTTCGACTCCCGTCCTTAGCTTGTATGTTGACACTGGCTTCCTGTCTCTCCAGGACCGCCGTGATCGCTACTGTCTTCGCTATCTTGCGCGGTCCTTACAACATCCTTCCTCTCGCCTCTGTCGTGCTTTAACTTTTACCCCTCCTGCGGTTCCTGTTCCTCTTCACCACCTCCCTCTTTCTGTCCGGTTATCTCGCCTACAGGATTCTCTTTCCGTTCGTATTTCTAATGTTTCTCCTCGTGTTGTTCCTTCTTTGCCCCCGTGGAGAGTCCCCCTTCCGCAGTTTTGTACATCCTTGACCCGCATCACTAAAGCTTTTACCCCTCCTACGGTTCTAAAACGCCTTTTCCTTGAGCACTTTTCTTCTCACTCCCGCTCCGTTTCTGTCTTCACCGATGGGTCTAAGTCTGCGGACGGTGTTGGCTACTCTGTTGTTTTTCCTGATCGCACTTATATGTGTCGCTTACCTCCGGAGACTAGCATCTTTACAGCGGAGCTTTATGCTATTCTCTATGCTCTTCGTCTCCTGCTTTCTCGTTGTCAGTCTTCCTTTGTAGTTGTTGTTGACTCTCGTAGTGCCCTCATGGCTCTCGGGTCCTTTAATCCGGTTCATCCAGTAGTTGTCGAGATCCAGCATTGGCTGTTTCTTGTTCACAGTAAATTTAAGTCGGTTGAGTTTTGTTGGGTTCCCAGCCATATTGGTGTGTCTTTAAATGAGCGTGCGGATGCTGCCGCCAAGGAAGCTGTCCGCTCTTGTCCCATCTCTCGTAAAGGTATTCCATATTCCGACTTTTACCCGGTTATCCATTCCTCCATCCTTACCCGTTGGCAGGCTTCTTGGTCGTCTGTTACTGGTAACAAACTACGTACTCTTAAATGTTGTGTTTCCTCGTGGCCGTCCTCCTACCACCGTAACCGGCGATGGGAAACAGCTCTGGCGAGGTTGCGTATTGGCCATACTCGCTTAACCCATGGTCACTTGATGGAGCGCCGCCCTGCTCCTTATTGTCCTAGTTGCATTGTCCCTCTTACGGTCGTGCATGTCTTTCTTCAATGTCCTGACTTCCAGGACGAGCGTGTCTTGCTTTCCGACCGCCCCTCGCGGTCACCTGTCCCTCAATGGAATTCTTGGTGACTCGGATACTTTTGATATCGTTCGCCTTGTGCGTTTTTGTTCTCGTATTGGCATCCTTGGTGATATTTAGCGCCCTCTGATTATTCTGCGCATTTGATGGTGCTACATAGCCTTCCCGGTTTGGTGCCTTCTTTTGATAATTACTTACTTACTTACGGTGATTGTGCTGTACGCCATCCAGTGGACATTTAGTTTGTGTATTAATTTGTTAAAAACATATGGGGATACAATCATTGAGTGGAGATGACCTGTGGAGGTGATTAGACGTGTTGAGTTCCCAAGATTGTCACTGTTCTCTTGGTACTTTCTTCTCTAAAGTCAATTACGTTTCTTTCATTGACGTTTGTGTATTTTTCTTACATAAATGATTAAAGTTGTTGCACTGTGTGTGTCTCATATTGCAATATAATTGAAGTATCTTTGACTATCTTGTTTGTTTTATATATATTGTATATTAGGAAGTTGTAAGTTATGTGATTTCTCTAAACGTCCCCCACACACACACAGTCGTCCCCCCACACACACACAGTCGTCCCCCCCCACACACACACACAGTCGTCCCCCCCACACACACAGTCGACCCCCCCACACACACACAATCGTCCCCCCCCACACACACAGTCGTCCCCCCCCACACACACACACACAGTCGTCCCCCCCCCCACACACACACAGTCGTCCACCACACACACACAGTCGTCCACCACACACACACAGTCGTCCCCCCCACACACACAGTCGTCCCCCACACACACACACAGTCGTCCCCCACACACACACAGTCGTCCCCCACACACACACACAGTCATCCCCCCCCCACACACAGTCGTCCCCCCCCACACACACAGTCGTCCCCCCCCACACACACAGTCGTCCCCCCCCCCACACACACAGTCGTCCCCCACGCACACACAGTCGCCACACACAGTTCAGCGCCATAATAAAGCATCTTATATTGGCCTCAAACAATAAAAGGAAAAAATAAAGATATGAATGTTGTTTTAATCATATATTTGACATTTTACACAAGATCAGCTGAGTGTTCTGAACGGTGAGGTGGCATGAGGCAGCCTCTGATTGGTGGCCACATGTGAGGCAGCCGCTGATTGGTGGGCACATGTTAGGACGCCTGTGATTGGTGCTGATTCCAGCCACTCTTGTAGCAGGAAGCAGTATATGTCACTGAGTCTATCTAGGAAAGTAATCAGAGCTCTCTGAGGCATTAATTAGTAGGATTTGTGGGATGAATGTCTTGGTCTTACCTCAGTCAGGTGTTCTGTGTGACAAACTGCTTATGAGCCTCTAAGACAACTACAGTCAATACGACGGTCATCAACAGTCAGAAAATCAGTGAAATGTTTCTGTTAATCACTCTGTAAAAGAAGTTAAAAACGTTCAACTTTTTCTTTATCAGTTTGGCCAATTATACATAAATATATTCGTGTGATGTGTTGAACTGAACACCTTGACACCGGCGCCTGACCTTTCCTGACAAGCCCAGAGTGTTACCAGTGGTAGAGTGACTGGGGAGTGACTGGGGAGTGACTGGGGAGTGACTGGGGAGTGCGTGGGAGTGCGTGGGAGTGACTGGGGAGTGCGTGGGAGTGCGTGGGAGTGACTGGGGAGTGCGTGGGAGTGACTGGGGAGTGCGTGGGAGTGCGTGGGAGTGACTGGGGAGTGCGTGGGAGTGACTGGGGAGTGCGTGGGAGTGACTGGGGAGTGCGTGGGAGTGACTGGGGAGTGCGTGGGAGTGACTGGGGAGTGCGTGGGAGTGACTGGGGAGTGCGTGGGAGTGACTGGGGAGTGCGTGGGAGTGACTGGGGAGTGCGTGGGAGTGACTGGGGAGTGCGTGGGAGTGACTGGGGAGTGCGTGGGAGTGACTGGGGAGTGACTGGGAGATGGAGGCGCGATGAATTTGGAAAATAATTTAATTGAATTAAGAAATAAGCATAACGAGGTTCATCATTCGTAATGAGAGAGAAGGGGGACGTCAGTCTCACACACAGAAACAGACAGGCAAACACACACACACACACACACACACACACACACACACACACACACACACACACACACGGCGTTCAGGAACCTGTGTAAGGAATCATTCAGAATCTTGTACACCACATATGTAAGACCAATCCTGGAGTATGCGGCCCCAGCATGGAGCCCGTACCTTGTCAAGCACAAGACGAAGCTGGAAAAAGTCCAAAGGTATGCTACTAGACTAGTCCCAGAACTAAGAGGCATGAGTTATGAGGAAAGGCTGCGGGAAATGCACCTTACGACACTGGAAGACAGAAGAGTAAGGGGGGACATGATCACAACCTACAAAATCCTCAGGGGAATCGACCGGGTAAACAAGGATGAACTATTCAACACTGGTGGGACGCGAACAAGGGGACACAGGTGGAAGCTGAGTACCCAAATGAGCCACAGAGACGTTAGAAAGAACTTTTTCAGTGTCAGAGTAGTTAGTAAATGGAATGCATTAGGAAGTGATGTGGTGGAGGCTGACTCCATACACAGTTTCAAATGTAGATATGATAGAGCCCAATAGGCTCAGGAATCTGTACACCAGTTGATTGACGGTTGAGAGGCGGGACCAAAGAGCCAGAGCTCAACCCCCGCAAGCACAATTAGGTGAGTACACAGAGTCAGAGACAGACAGAGAGATAGACACAGACAGAAAGAGAGAGATATAAAAGATAAGTGAGAGAGCAGGCAGTATGAGGAGCAGCAGCAGCAGTACACACAGTGGTACTGTGACTACTGAACTAAGTAACCAGGAAAAAGCAAACAACACACAATAACAAACACAGGAGGAGGAGGAGGAAAGGCGTCATGACCTTCAAACACGAAAGAAAGTCAACAGAATAGAAGATAAATGTTAGGAAGGAAGAATGGAAGTGAGAGAACCAATAGAGACTGCGAGCGACCGTCACCAGGAGGTCAGCTCCAGCAGACTTTGATCCTCAGACAACACACACACCGACGACAGGTTAATGCCTCCTGCTTAGATGCTCTATGGAATATCAACGCCTCTAACACCTCTAGTATAGAGCTGTTAAATACAGAGCCACTAGTCAGGACTTAGAGTTAATGTCACTACATTAGGAGTCTTAAACAGTCATTAAAACGAGACACTTAAGGGAGCTCAATAAGGATCCGGACAACTCACAAATCAAAGGGTTGCTATTAATATATAATATTTCAGTCTAAAGGTTCACATCAGTGTTCTTCAGATCACATATTAAGTAACAGGAGACCAGAAAGGCTTTTACCAGAATCCTCCCGCTATGCCAGTGTCTAATACTCTTACATAATACCATAGTGGAACTTCAAAGCCTTCTGCCTTCAGACCTGCAATCAAAGGAGCTTCAGTCAGGTCAAAAGAGTATACAAGAACTCTCTGTGAACCTTCAGAGAGTCGTCGGTAGAGGCAAGAGTCGTGCTGTTTACACTCTCTCAGCCCCCTGGACCAGCGGCGGCATGCTGTCCCTCTTCTTGTGCGTGTGCTGAGTGGAGACGCTGCCGCTGCGGGCATCGAGGACAACCTCGTGGCGATGTCGCGAGCGAGATCGAGTCCGAGATCGCGAACGGCGAGGATGCATCGAGGAGGAGCGAGGTAGCCTCATGTTGGTCCCCAGGAGAATGACGATGATTGCGGCGTAGAACACCACGATAACCTGCGGGGGAGAACACTGTTAGCTCGGACTCTCAGGGGAGAACACTGCTTGTTACCTCGGACTCACAATGATCACAAACGTTACTCTGAGGCTGAGACTGGTAGCACACACTCTACAACACAGGCAAAAGCTTTCCCGTTTTGTTTAATCCAACTCTATCTGAGCTGTGTTTAGAGGCTACCAGCTCTACCTCTCAGGGCTCCCACAGCTCTAATATAGTTCAGCTATATTAGACCTTATAGTAGCAGCATATTATAGTCAGCAGGGAAGCTAATGTTCTGCAGTAATGTGTTCACTTAAACAACTTTAAAGGCGGAGCTCAGGAACTAGCGCCTGATCATGCAGTCACTGGTGCGTGTGTACACAGGAATGGTTGAGTGCCCCACACACTCTCACTCTCACACTCTCACTCTCACACTCACACTCACACTCACACTCACACACTCACACTCACACTCACACTCACACACTCACAGCGACGAAGATGGCGGCCTCTGCGGAGATCTCTGTGGCGGTGGGCAGGGTGGGTGGGTCCTGGACCTGCGCCATGTAGGTGGGCACGCCCACCCTCGCCCCACCTCTCGCCCCACCTGCCAGCACACACCCTAGCCTGTAACACAAATAATAATCCTGGAAAAATGTTCTTTGTTGCATCTGTGTCAGTGAGGTGAGGCTACAGGTGACGCATCATTAGTCATAATAATTACAGTGTGAACTGTATCATTAAATAATTCTGTAACACACAAACATTAAGCCTCGTGCTTGAGGCGTCACGTGCCCGCTCTTCACAACAACTTGTCAACATTATTTATATTTAAATGATATAATTATACACATTATTCATATTTTGTAAAACATTTTTTTTTTACATAAAGAAAAGTGGAAAAGTTTTTAGGCGTCAGACCAAAAACTAAAAAAATTAGTAAATGAACTTTGGAGAGTTAATATTTCAATTACCACCGACAGTGAAGATAAACGTAAGAAATATTGAGTTCTTCAATTCTCTCTTCCTCACCCCCCCTCCCCCATATGTCCCTTCCTCCTCCAATTCTACCCTCCTTCTCCTCCTCGTGTCTCTTCTTCCTCTCGCTGTCTCTTCCTCTACATCTTCACTATTCATGCTGTCAGTCTTCCCCCATGTCATTCCCTCCTCCTCCTACCTCCACTATTCCTCCTCCCTTACCTCTTCCTTATTCTCTTTCTGTTGTGTTCTTCCTCCTGAGCTTCACCCGCGCTACTTATTACTTTTACCTCCAGGTCCTTATTCGTCTTTGCCCCTTTGTTTTTATCTTACTCCTCTTCTTCGGTCTTTATTCTCTCCTGTTTTTATTACATTCTTCTCTTCCTTCCGCTCCTATTGGCTCTTCCTTCTCCTCCTATTGTTAACGTGTTCTCTTTTTATCTCCTGATACGTATTCCTCCTCCTCCTCCATCCTCTGCGGCCTGCCTCTTTCTCTTCTTTCTCTTCTATATCTTCCTGCAGCTTCTTCCCTCTTATTTCTTCCTCCTCTTCGTATTGTCTCCTCTTCCTCATTTTCCACCTATTGTTTATCATCCTTAGGCTTACTTTTATCCTCTATCTTCCTCCTTTTCTTCCTCCTGCTGCTCCTCCTGCTCCTGCCCCTGCTCCTCCTCCTGCTCCTCCTGCTCCTCATATATTAACCTGACATATACGACTCATATATTCAGCCAATTGATGATAATCAAGATTTATTCCTGTCATAAATATAGTTTTTATTCTCATGGGGACCAGAGTGACCTGGCGAGTGTGTGCTTGAGTGTTAGTGCTTCATGGTGGTGGTGCTTGAGTGTTAGTGCTTCATGGTGGTGGTGCTTGAGTGTTAGTGCTTCATGGTGGTGGTGCTTGAGTGTTAGTGCTTCATGGTGGTGGTGCTTGAGCGTTAGTGCTTCATGGTGGTGGTGCTTGAGTGTTAGTGCTTCACGGTGGTGGTGCTTGAGTGTTAGTGCTTCACGGTGGTGGTGCTTGAGTGTTAGTGCTTCACGGTGGTGGTGCTTGAGTGTTAGTGCTTCACGGTGGTGGTGCTTGAGTGTTAGTGCTTCACGGTGGTGGTGCTTGAGTGTTAGTGCTTCATGTTGGTGGTGCTTGAGTGTTAGTGCTTCACGGTGGTGGTGCTCAAGTGTTAGTGCTTCACGGTGGTGCCCTGAAACGTGATCATTCTGTGCTTCTAAAATGCCTTGAGCTGTGGAAGTAATTCCCGACATCTTGCTTTGTTCTGTACCTCACCAGCTTCTTTCGTGAGCAGCGAAAGCAACAAACTTGCAACATGCACTTACATCAGCCATAAGAAGTCCTCGCCTTGCACACCTGGCACACACACACGTGATGGACAAACACCTCCTGTTGCACTCAGCTTATGCCACTCCCGCTACTGGCCGGCCCAAGTTCACTCTCTCAGCCTCACCTCGAGACCGATATTGACATCTTGAAAGACTGTGAAGGCTGAGACATTTGTGTGACCTGAGAGCAACTTGTGGCCCGGGGAAAGACTTAGCGACGAGAAAGGCTCAAGTTTTGTGACAAGGCTTCAATATTGAGGAGAAATTTGACTTTTGTGCTCACTAAAAATTTGTAAGAAACTTTTTGAGTTGAGAAAATTATTTTTTTTTACTAAAGAAGAGGCCAAAAGTTGAATGATAATTTTCTCTGCAAGAATACTGGGAGCGAGGAGTGATTATGACCTTTCAAGTGATAACAAGTTCAAGGGAAGTTTTTAATTTTTAGAAATTAAGAGTTGAGAGAAGTTTCTGATTAATGAATAGCTGTATATACATTATATATATATATATATATATATATATATATATAAAATATATATATAATATATATGCGAACAAGCAAGAATGGTCCCCAGGACTATATGCAACTCAAAACTCACACCCCTAAAGTAACTCGAACCCATACTGCCAGGAGCACTCTGCTGGCGTACAGGATCCCTTAACAGCTCGACCAACACGATATTTATATATATATATATATATATATATATATATATATATATATATATATATAATATGAGATCTCTTTAATGGTTACATTGACCAAATCCATAGGCTGAGTGCCTCGGGGCACTATAGAGTGTGTTAGTCAGACTGTGAGTGCCTCGGGGCACTATAGTGTGTCAGACTGTGAGTGCCTCGGGGCACTATAGTGTGTCAGACTGTGAGTGCCTCGGGGCACTATAGTGTGTCAGACTGTGAGTGCCTCGGGGCACTATAGTGTGTGTTAGTCAGACTGTGAGTGCCTCGGGGCACTATAGTGTGTCAGACTGTGAGTGCCTCGGGGCACTATAGACCATGGATTATTGCACCACGGGCTCATGACTAGTCTATTCCAGCCTTTCTTCTCCTCTCTTAACAATCTGGCTCCGGTTAATTCCAATGTTGACTGGGAATCTAATTCCCTCCTTCCTTTTCCAAACGTTCTTGTTCAGAGCTCTGAGACTGTTAACCGCAAACCTCTGCACAGTGGCATGTACATTCTCTTCTTTTCTTACCATCCTCCTCCTCTTAAGAAAAGTTTTCTTCCGCGCTCTACAGGTCAGTGACCTTCATTTTTTTTTATTCTGAAATTGATTTACGTCTTTCTCTCGCCTATACATGTAACCCCTTTACATTTATATTTAAGTTATCAGTAAACGAAATTTATTTCACCCAAAACCTGTTTCCAACACTAGTAGCACTGTGCTCTGTCTTCCCTTCATATCTGAACTCAAAACTCTCACTAATACCCTTCGTCCTCTTGACGTAAAGTTCGCCTTTCGACCAACTAAGACTCTTCGTGGTAATGTGGTTCACACACTGCTCCTCCTCCTGCTGCTAGTGCTGCTGGTGTCTACTCTATTTCCTGCTCGTCTTGTCCTCTCCAATACTTTGGTGAAACTGGCCGTACTCTTAATGAGACTTATGGAACACGAAAGAAGTGTTATGTCTGCAGACACAAACGATGCTCTCTTCTGTCATGTTAG